ACGATAGTTATCACACAAGCATCAAGGTTGCTCCTTTTGAGGCGTTATATGGTCGCAAATGCAGATCACCTCTATGCTGGGCTGAGAGGGGGTGAAACCCATATAGCAAAATGGAAATCACCGAACAGTACTTTAACAGGGCCATAGATTATTCAAGAGACGACAAATAAGATAATTCAAATCAGAGCTCGACTTCAAGCATCGCGCGACCGACAGAAGAGCTATGCTGACAAGCGACAAAAACCCTTAGAACTCCAAGTCGGGATCATGTGCTATTGAAAGTCTCTCCCTGGAAAGGGATGATTCGTTTCGGGAAAACGGGGGAAACTAAACCCACGATACATTGGACCATTTAAGATTCTTGCCCGAATTGGTCCAGTGGCTTATAGGTTGCAGTTACCTGCCGAGCTCAGCAATGTACACCCCGTGTTCCACGTCTCGAATTTGAAAAAGTGCCTATCAGATGAAAATATTTTCATTCCTTTGGAAGAGAACGAAATAAACAAGAGGCTCCTGTTCGTCGAAGAACCACTCGAGATATTGGATAGGGAAGTGAAGCGTACGAAGCACAACCGCATTCCGATTGTGAAGGTTCGAAGGAACGCTAAGTGTTGACCGAAATTCACATGGGAACGAAGATCAGATGAAGCAGAAGTACCCTCACATATTCTCTCATTCATGATCCTTCCTTTCGAAAGAATTTTGGGACGAAATTCCCTTTAACGGGGGGATAATGTCACAACTGACATTTTTAGCTAGGAAATTATGTAATCATGTAAACATCATCTATGATAATACTTGTAACCCTAACTTGATACCATGCACTATGTTCATTCTATGACAACAAACTTAATCAAAATTCACAAGTGAAGTTCAAAACTCTACACAAAACATCCAAATAGTCAATTGGGGAGTTGAAAAGCCTAGAGATCCAAGTTCAAGTTCATTATGGACTAGGATTTCCTTATTGGGCCTAATGGACCAATAAGCATTCAATTCAACTATATTGGGCTTAGAAACCCTATTTGGATTCTAAATGGTCTCAATACATAAACCTATAACATTTTGGACCATTTGGGCCTAGAATGAGTCATTCTAACCCTAATGGGGCTTATTGGGCCATAAATGAATTAATTTTCCCTAATGGGTCATAAACTCCACTCCTTTTATTTTAATAGACCGATAACCTTCCATTTGGGCCCATAATATCGAAATCAAGCATTCAAGGCCCAAACCACTCCTTCTTTCTCCTTTTCTTTCTTCCTCTCGACCCAACAACTAAAACAAAAAAAATGAAGAAAACAAGGTTTATGTGGGCTTGCCAACTAAACATTATTTAATGGTAATCTAGGCTAAAAACTCTTAACCATCAAGTAATAACCATTTGATTCTCTCTCTTCCTCCTCCTCTAAATTTGTCCGAGAACACACACACATCACCACCATCTTCATTTTCTCAAACTCTCACAAGAAGTCTCTCAAGAACTCTCCTCATTCTCTCTAAATTTTCGAGATTTGGTGTGTGTCTTCAAGAGATTCTTCTTCAAGATCATCAACTTTGGTAAGTTCTTAATTAGATCTATGACTTAGCTTCTTAATTTCTTCAAAATCTCCTCCTAACTCATACCATTTCGTGAATCATGCATCTTAGAGCCATCTAAGTTCTAAAGTTCTTCAAGAAGCTTGCTAGGACCAAAATCTCTTCACATCTTCACCAAAAACCGAGAACAACAAGCAAGGTGAGTTCATACCCCCTATTTTCGATTTTTACCTTGCTTTGGGGGAGAATACAAGTTGTGTTGTGTAGATCTATGTGTGTATGCATGTATATGTGTGTTTTTCATGATTTATTTGGTGGTTATGTGTTATTTACTTCATAAATCTAAAAATATGTTAAGAATATTAAGTTTATCACTTGGATCTACATGAAAACCTTGAGAAAAGTATGTGTTATCACATATAATACATGTAAACTTGTAGATCTGGGATTTATACACTTAAAATAGCAAAAATGAGTGTTGTGTTCAAAGATCTATAAACTAAACTCAAAAATCAGCCATTGACAGACACGTTTTGGTCCAATCTCGAACTGTTTTGACCACATTAATGATAATATTTCTGAAAACTGTTTTACATAAAAACATCTCAAGTTTATACCTTTAAAATGACTACTCTCACGTTTTCATACAATTTTTCTACAATTTTTGGCGAATTTTACAAAACTGCCTATCATATTTGAAATAATTTCGGACCAGCCTGTGAAGGCGAGCAATTTCACACTTGTTAGAGACCATTAAAAATTATGAGAAACATTATGAACAAAAGAGACAAAATTTCCAAACTTCCAGAGTTTACGGATCCAAATTTCGACTTACGATGATTTTTCTACAAATTTTCCAACAACCGGGTCAGAAAAGTCAAAAACCATAAAAATGTGTATTTTCACAAAAATCAAGCCAAAAATGATATTTTTGACAAAAATGGGTTAGAAATGTTATTTTTACCAAACACTAGCTATAAATACAAGTTTTGAGCAAAATGGGGACAAAAGTGTTATTTTTATTAAGATTGGGCCTTAATTGTAAATTTTTGGCTTATTGGGCCAAGAATGTCATTTTTACAAAAAAAATGGGCTTTTATGCCTTTTGGTATCTAATTGGGCTAAAACGAGCAATACAATAACAAACGAGCTAAAATTTGCCATTTTCATGTTATTGGGCCTTAGTGGCCCATTTATATGTTTGATGGGTCCTGAATACTATTTGTATGTTTATTGGGCCTCATTGACCCATTAACATGTGCGACGGACCTTGGATACTATTTGTGTGCTATTTGGGCCTGTAAATACCTTACATGTGAAATGGGCCTTAGTTGTCCTTTTACATATATTTCGGGCCTATGTTATATGAATCTCATCCTATTAGTCCTTGAAATGACTCACATGTTTAGCGATTCCCTAGTGGCTCACTTACACGTTTCGTTGGGCCTGGAATAAGTTTTATACATTTTTCTTCGTGTAAATTCGATTAAGGATCTAGTGAGTTTAGTCGGTTGACACCTACTGAGTGTACGATCGTAGTCTGTAGTTATAACCAGAGTCTCTTGGAGGGAGAGTGTGAATTTGTGTATAGATCTATACGGGGGTGACGCCTCACACCTGAGCTGTTCGCTACAGTTAGACTAGTCCAGTCTAGGGTGACAAACTGTACCTTAAACAAGTCGGCGTCTTCCAGACGTCAAGACAGGCGAAAGTGTCATTATCAAGTATGGTTGTAACGGCTCATTTAGAGGAATTAACGTTATATATTTACGAAAGACCATCCTTTTCTTTTCTCTTTGGGTTACTCAGGAACATACATGTACTGGTACTCAACCTCGAGGGTTGGTACGTCAGCATTCTCTATTACTGACAACATGTCTGGGGACATTCTCTTCATGTTTTCTGCATTATCTTTATACATTCTAATAAATAATAACACACATGCATTAATACGAGATCTGACACAAACATGCTAAACTGTTTACAGAAAATATCGGATTTTCTGGGTTTTACGTGTAATCCAAATCATTTTCACAAACATGCTTATGAACTCACCAACATTTTTATGTTGACCTTTTTAAATTAACTTGTATTCTCAGGAAACCGTTGAAGCAGGTTCGGTGGATCAATTTAATGGACGTTTTGTTATATTTATGTTTCATCATACTTAGAACTTTTGGCGTGTAATATTCAAACATAATACTTGATGTGAACAATGTCAGTGGTAATATTGTAATGCATGGTGATGATGATGTTATGTTTCATATATATTCATTGTGATGATATTTCAATTCAAAGTCACACGAGCCCCCAGACGTTTCCGCCGTCTGGTTCGGGGGTGTGACATTAAGCCTCTCTCCTCCTTCTCAATCATCTTCCATTGCTAGTGTTGGGCGTCAACCACTAGAGGCGTGACACTTGTGACGCTTGCTCTCAAGGCTTCATCAACACAAGGATTTGCATTGTTATTACTATATAACAATCAAGGTATATGACTCTTCTAACCCTAATTGTGTATTTAGATTATATACTAGTATGCTAGGGTTTTCTATTTTGTTGTTAAAATTGTGTGTTCAATTAGAGAATACATATATCAAAACATTTAGGGTTGCATGCACACATAGGATTTTATGTTTTGCATAATACCCATGAGTTGGTAAGATACGTTTTATCCTGGTTGTTTTTGGAACAAGTGTTTGTATGGATTTAATGATTTAAAAAAATGAAAATTGTATTGGTGTTTTTGGGATATCTCAAGATTATAGCCCAGAAATATGCAGTAACTGAATGTGGAATGCCTAATGGTTAAATAGCCAACCTAGTTTGCGTTTGAATAGGCAATGAGACCACAAGATGGAGAGGAAAACAGATGGTAGTCGGAATCAGTGGTGCCTTATATGTACGATTTGTGAAGTATAGATCCTAAGGATCGTGTATGAATAGGCAAATTTGTTGTGCGGCATACATAATGTTAGGTTTGGTAAATGTGAGGTACTGAAGTACCCTTGAAAGGTTGTGATCAAGAGTAGGGTCATCATTTAACTATCCGAAACCATCAAATTTAGCGAAAATTTTAGTCGGTGTGCGTAAAGGTTTGCATTTTACCATATTAGCTCTTTCAAGAATCTCCGTAGCATACTTGCATCGGCTGAGGAACATATGGTTATAGTAACGGTTATTTAAAATATCAAGGAGTGTAAATCGTCATTATAATATCATTAAATCATAATACAGAGATAGATTGTTTTAGACCGGTATCATGTATGGTTTTAGAAAAGTAACCACACATATGAAAGAAATCTTATTAACAATATATATAGGTGTACATTGGCTTTAAAAAAATAAACAATAATTACATAAAATATATACAACAATAAGTTCCATCTATATCTTATCATTAATAATATAAATAAAACAATTTGTAAGTTAGAAAATAATCATTTACAAAATGTTGAAAGAACCATCCAGTATCATATGTTACAATTCAAATCATATCAAAATCCATCTTCAAGGATGCAGTCATAATTTAATCATGGTCACCTGCGAGATTGGACAAACTATTAAATGATCTACCTCCGGAGCTAGAATTATTGTTAGTATTGCTACTAGTTCTATGGAGGCGGCACCGAAAAGATCCGGCATGGGTAGTGGGGGAGCAAAGGCAATTCATCTTTCCTTCAGAAGGAATTCTTCTCATGCCATCACCATCTTGCACGCCCAAATGGAGCAGTTTAGTACAACTGCTACCATATCGTGGCGATTGTGCACCAAAATTTCCAGACATTTGCTTACTAATATTTTCCAAAGCTTGTTTTGGAGGATCAAGCTTCGGTCGCTCTTGTTTCCCTTCCATTTGATCAATGCTCCTAATTTACAATATCATCATAAACCATACTTTCATTATGCGATAAAAAATGTCATGCTTTGAATATGTAATTCATCAAAAAAAAAATATGTTGTAAAGCATTGAAAGTGATCAACCCATAAAATTCTTTTATTGTAATAAACAAATCACCTGATAATAATCACGTTATCGTTGCAAACGTCTTTGAATTTGGATAGGTTTGTGTCTGGATTGAAGATAGAGAGTTGAAAAAATTGAGAATGAATGGACAAGACAAAACGAAAAATAGAGTTTTTGCTAAAAATATAAGAACATGCTAAATTTGTTTAGATAATTTAGTGGTCAATTATCAAGTATTTGAGGACCATAATTTCTTTCGCTCTTTTATCCACAAATAGCGTTAATCAACATATAATATATATTTGTGATGTGATGCTCTGTATGATATACTTGAAATTCACGGAATTGATGCAAACTTTAAGAACCAACAAATCGCAGACTTTTTTTGTGTATATATCCACATAATTGAGGATAAGGAGGAGATACTTTTAGTTACATGTGAGCCTGTGAATTTAATTTAATTTTAACGTTATAATATGCATATCTGCCACCATTTCATACATCTTCACAATATAAAATCCAAAATCCTTTATAATGTGCATTTATAAGGTTTGTGGTGGGTTATAGTGTATTTGTTGGTATTTAGTTTTTATCATGTGAGTCTGTGAATTTAATTTTAACGTTATAATATGCATATCTGCCACCACATACATCTTCACAATATAACATCCAAAATCCTTTATAATGTGCATTTATAAAGTTTGTGGCGGGTTATAGTGTATTTGTTGGTATTTTAGTTATTATATGAATGTGTGAAATCAAAAGATAGTTTATCATGTTATTTTTTAAGACCAAAAAAATAAAAGTATTTTTTTTCAAGCATATACCAATATGCAAGTAAAACCTCGTCAATTATTCACGCCATAATTAATAATTTACAGTAATTTAAAATGTTATTTTTAGACCATGTTTTTTTTTGAACCGACAAATATATTAAAAGTCCCGCCACCGCCCGCCTAGCAAATCACTAGACGCACAGGAAACAGGGGAATAAGGACAAAAGTTTACATATAGGTAAAAGAAGAAATGGACCAATCAACCCATTTGTAATTACAATTCTTTCTCCTATGTTTGATCCACACGAACACCTGAGACTTAATAGTATCTACCACCATTGTTGGGGACGAACGTATGTTTTTAAGTACACTGTCGCATCTCGCCTTCCAAATCCACCATGTGATATACTGATATTTATGTTTTATTTTTAATCAGAATTGTACCTTCCTCGGGAAACGCAGCCATGTTCCTTTATTGTCGATATAGATTTTGCATATTATGTTCTAGTCACAAAAAAGAAAAATACTATTATTTATCAATTTTAGTGTTTTGTGTGCACGACATTCAGAAAACATTGTACGAAAAAATATTGTTACACAAAATAGAAATGGTTTTACTAAACGATGACTTCTATTAACGAATAAACATCATCACATGTAAAAGAAAAGTAAAAAAAAATATTTATAACATAGAATCTTTATGCCCACAAAACAAAAAGCCATCATCACATATTTTGACTTAGAGCACAAAACATTTAAAATCAACCGATCCTCGCTAACGGTGAAAGCCAAACAAGGGTTGATGGTGGCCAGTTGTTTCATATAGGTTTGCAGTGATGGTCAGCGGATGTTTATATGGTGTTGGGAGTCGTCAGAGGCTATGGTTTCCACTGAAAACGGTGGATAATGGAGAAGACAGAGCAGGGTTGTGGTGGAGAGCTATGTGTATAAGGTAGTAGTGGTGGTGAACGAAGACATATATTTTCAAAAACATTTTAAACTTTGTAGATTAAACTTTCAAAAATATTTTGTATTTAAAATAAGTCTTTTCAAACATAGAAAAGTTAGACCCAATTTAGATTTTGTCAAAAAATCTTTTTAACAAACCTTTTAATTAAATACACAAAAGGTTTTACAAAATTTTTGAAAATAGTAAAACATTTTATCGTCTTTTTTGCATTAGATGAGATTATTTTGGTTCTATATTGATACAAAAATAGAAGAGATATGTGAGTACATCCTCTTTTTTACTATGTTTACTTTTTAATGTTAGGGTGCAAAGTCATGTTTCGATGCTTCCAGTAGCTTATCCTATTGTTTGTGTGTAATGAGTTGTCTTTCCTATAAATAGGAAGTGAGTGACATTCATTTTATGTAAGAACTTGTGAGAGATTAGTCTAGTGAGAGAAATATTGCATGACCCACTTTGTAATACTTTCTAGACTAATGAGAGCTTAAAACGAGATTATTTACATCCTTGTGTTCTTCATGTTCATCATTCTTGCATGATTCACTAAATCATTTCATATTGTGCATTCGTCATCATAATCAGGATCACTACAATCGGTATCAGAGTGGGTGTTCTTGATTTTCTCAAGAATTGATCCATTATTACATTTTTGATTTGGTGATTCTTCTTTGCTATTTGATATTCGCGTTTAGAGAGTTTTTGGATTCTAGAAATCAAATTGTTCCTTGATTTGATTCATAATTCAATTTTCTTCACTAGAATTCAAGTATTTTTGCTTTTTCTCACTAGAAACCCATTCAAAATCACTTTCCCTCTCTAGATAAACCCAAGTTCTTATCAATTGATCAAAGATGGTGTACTTACGTAATGATTCTTGGATTTTAATCATTGAAGATGTCAAATACAAAGTCAATGAAAATCAATTCTATGTATTATTGTTAAAACGTGGGTTGATTTCATGGGATACTTTGGTTTCTTATGGAGGATTGAAAGATAATCATGGAAGATTGATATTTCAACCACTTTCGAAGATTGGATGTTTGCTTGAAATCACCATGAACATGTTATCTTGGTGTGAAAATCAAGAGGAAGGAAACAAAATAGAATTATTCAAGAATGAATATGGTTCTCTTATTGAAAATTCAAGTGATCTTCATGCTCTTAAATTTGTTGAAGTTCAAGACTATGGAATTTAATGTGATGTTCATGATGTTCTTGAAGTTCAAGATAAGAAGATTCAAGTTGATTCTCTTGAAGATGAAACAGTTTTTTGCTCGATTGGAGTTCAAAAAGATGATATTTTATGTTCTTGTGATTCGTTTGAATGAATGATTCCTTATCGAAATCCACCAATCCAAGAAATTAACAAATATCAAACTCCAAAAGATTTGATTCAAAGTTGCAAAGTTGAAGTTGTTAAGAATGAAGTTGTTCTTGAATTTAAATCTTCAAGATCCAAAAAGATGAGAAAGACAAAGAAGAAAAAGATCAAAAGCAAGAACAAATGGGTTTATTCACAAAAATCTTTGAATGTTGTTGTGAAGCTGAAATCTATGAAACAAATTTGGATTCCAAAGAAACAATCATCAAACGTTGCAATGAATTTGAATTCAAAACCCAAAAGTGTTGATGGTTCTTATGAAGATGATGCTAGATCGTTGAAGAACATGAAGAACGGGTTGTATAACATACATCGTGGGTGGTACAATGTTCAATTTGGTGATTTTCTTATTCCAACAAAAGAACCAAGATCATCAGTGACTGATTCGTGTGTTGCAAACCGAAAAAGAATCGTCAATAAGATTTCTCACACTCTCAAATGGATACGAAAACTTTCTTGATTTTTGATGATCCGATGAAGAACGATCAAGGTTTTTCTCAAAATTCGAATTTAATCAAATTTTTGTAATCGTGCATTTTGTTTTTCATTTTTGATCGTTTTTGTAACATACACGTTCTGTTATCGTGTTTTATGATGAATAATATTATGAAATACTATATGAATTTGAGTATTGAGTTCTAACAGATAGTTTTTACTTGAATTGAAGTAAAACTATGTTTAGAATCATTGAGAATGTTTTGGAAGTCTTATGAGATTCCAATCAAAAAGCAAATGTTGAAATTTAACGAAAATATAAAATTTAAAATAAGTAGAATTTTATTATTGAAAGTTGTAGATAATTTCGTTATAAACATTTAGGCGAAAACCTCATCTAAATCTGAGTTATAACGAAGAAGTTATGACCAATTGAAGATCCACAACAAAACCGGCAAACACTATTTAGCGTAAAAAGTGAGTTTTCGATAAACTAATTTTTAGCTTTAGTGATCTAAATGAAAGTCGTAGTACTCGTTAAACCAAGATTTTCATAAAAAGAACGTCCAAATCTGACTTCGTATGACGACGTTATGATTTTTCGAAGTTTCAGAATAGCAGTAGACAGCTAAAAACTCGAAATAAAGATCGAGTGATTTTTAGCCAACGCAACTTAAACGATAATCGAAGGTCTCGTCAATAGTAGTACAACGGTAAAAAGACAGACGAAAACGGACGTCGGATGAAGAAGTTATGAATTTTTAACGGATTTTCATGTCCTGATCTGTTAAAAATAATAATATTAAAATAAAGTCAAAATTAGCCAACGAAGTCTAAACAAAAGTTGTAGAGCATAATTTCACCTACGCGTGCATATAAAGAACGTCAAAAACGGAGCTCGTATGCGAAAGTTATGGATTTTAGAAGTTTGGGACACAAAATCCGAGAAAATCCCAAGAACCGAGGAATTTCGCATGGCTCAAGTTCGGCCACGTCACCTCGCCCGCAAAGCCGCCTCGTGTCTGCCACGTGCTCGCTGCTGATTCGACCGAAGATGCGGCCGAATGAGAAGTCGACGCGCCTCGCACCCGAAGGCGCGGTCCTCTCCTGATCCGACACGTGCCCAGTCCGAGCTTCCGACGCGTGTCGATGACTCCCCTCGCATCCGAGCCTCGCTGCTGTTGCCGCGTGTCCCTTCCTTCGTCCGGAGCTCCGAACCTCGCACCTATATAAAGGGGGTGCGAGATTTCCCGGGTAACTTTTGGAATTTGCCACTTTTTCACCCTAAATTTAATATTTTTACTATTTCGACTTCCCCCGAAGCCCCGGTATCATTTCCAACACCCGAAATACGTTCCGAAGTGCCCGAGAAATTTATCTTTTCGGTTTGAAGCTCAACCCTCGCAAGGCCCGGTTTTCAATAAAGCTCCCGGTTTTCAGCGAAGAAAGTTATTTATTATAACGAAGTGTTGCACAAATTACTATTTTAACCCCCGATTAATTCACGGTGAGTTCAATATATAGGAACAATTGTATGTTATGTGTTATATGTGCTATGTGCTTTTCCGTTGTTATTATTTCCGCTATTTATGATAGCAAAGCTATACCTTTGGCCATGTGATCAGTGAAAGGACTTATATTCACAGTGGTATTGGTATGTAGCCTCTGGCCATGTAGAACATGTCTTGTAAGAGAATGACTTCTATTCTATGGCATTGGCAGAAGGTTAGATAGGGCTAAAAGCCTGAAATCTACCAAAATGTTTAATCAGAAAGTATATGTCTTCTGTGCCATTTGGGCCGAAGCTTTATTGATGTATATCAAGTATGGAAATTGTTATGTCTCATTGATTGTATATCTTTGGATCAAATCATTGAATGATATGGAAAGTTTGTCACATGATTCACATGTGCCTTTTTGTTCCTTGTTCCTCTTTGCTTCTGCCATATTGAAGTATATATATGGCATAACGTTATATTGAATCTATTATTGAACTCACTAAGCGTCACCGCTTACCCCTCTCAATGTTTAACAATTACAGACAATAAGCAACCAGTATAGTTATATACTGTCGGAAGATGTAGAATAGTTTTTACTATTACTTTTGTACTTCAGTTCATGTTTGTATAAAATTACAATATCCTGGGTAGTTATGTAAAATATTAAAACTTAGTCGGTTTGTATCCAGTCGTTTGTAATCGTATATCAATGTAAAATATTGTTTTATGAATATGCATGTAGCATGTTTGGGAGTAATAATGTTTCAATTATAAAAGTGTGAGTCTTTAAGTTTTGATTCGTTGGATCTATTCCGTTTCAACCTCGTTGATGATCCAATAATTTTTTTTAAGATCTAAATCAAATTCTAAAAAAAAAAATATTGTTCACTGTTCATACTTCGAAACCCAAGAGATATATTATTGTTCATTAGATTGCCTAATTCAAAATCTATTCCTTAAGCCCAAATTCGAACAGTATTCACTTTAAGCCCAAATCGACCCTTAGCCCCCATTTAAGTGATTCTTGAGCTTCAAAGTGATTTATGTGTGTTTTTGGTGCTTGAGGAGGAAGAAGGAACTTCTTGAAGAGTCATTTCTTGACTTGGAGCTTTTGGATCCAGGCTTTGTTCACCTAGATCTAACTTCTAGAGGTATAAAGTCTCAACCTTGACAACTCTTTC